ATTCTTGTAGGAAATTGAACGGTCTTCAAAAAAGGTCTGATATGATTTTTCATTTAATCCACTCGTTTGAAAGTTATCGAAGGTTAAAGTTCAACTTCAAATCGTATATGACAACTTCCAAAATAAATTTTTTATAGGTATTTTATCACGAAAAAAATGGTCCAAAAACCTAAAATATTTTATTTTTCGTAAAGTTCATCAAGTGTTCTTTGGTAAAACATTATTTTTTTTACGAAATACAAAAAATAATCGCAAGAAAAAATATGTTTTTTTCTATATTTAATAGTGGTACCTGATTTTTTTTATCTGAGTAATTACTTAAAAAAAATGAATAATTTTTGACGCTCTCTAAATTTTTAGTTTATTGTCTAAAAAAATAACAGACCATTGCAAACCCTTAATATTCACAATAGACCTTGCCTCAAAGGCGGCTCATTTTTCATTTAAATTACATGGGAATTTGCAAATATTTTTTTTCTTTCGATCTTGCTCCCTCGCAGCCATGAATTTTAAGTTGAAAAATTTAGGAATTTACCGAGTGGTTAACTTTAACCGTGAATAACTTTTGAAGGGGTAGGTTTATCGAAAAATTGTCAGAGACCTTTTTTGCAGAGCGTTTATTTCTGTACAAGAATGTGTGAAGGTTTATAGCGAATATTAAGGGTTTACAATGGTCTCTTGCTTCTACTCGTTCTACATCTTCTTTAAATTCTGTGAACGTAACAATGTTAAAACAAAACAAAATCTTCGTTATCATTTTAATTTTTGACAATTACTCCTCTACAAACTTCGATGCTCTATGCACTGATTCACGACTATTTTTAATCGCAACGCATCTATCAATCAATATTATTATGTATACATTTCCTTGAATTTTCCTCTACGAGCGGATGAAAAATATTTAAAAAAACATACGTCCATTTTACGCGAGCACGTGAACATGATGTTTTTAGTTTTTTTTCATGTTGGAATGAATATATTCGACAAGCTGATGGGTTGCATTCCTTTGACAAATACCAATTCTTACAGGAATTTTTTTTGTAAAAAGTTAATTGCGTAGTTGTTTTATCAGGTTTTTTAAATAAATATACTGTATGGAAAATTATAAGAAATTTTACTTAAAATTAAATTTTAATTTTCACTTTTTTTAATATATTTTTGCTGATAGAGTATAAAATATATAAAATATTAAAAAAAAGTATAGAATACAAGTAGTATAAAAAAGTATAAATAGTATAAATATTCATGACTCAGGATTTTTCAAAGGGTCATTTCCCTTCAAGGAGTGAAATAAATTTAAAAAAAAATATTTTTTTTAAATTTCGGAGAAACGGTAAGAACTAGGAAAAAAAAGTTCAAATAAAAGTTGTGGCGCGTCAAATTTCACATAGAAATGATCTCAACACTTTTTTTGCTCAGATCAAAGTTAACCGAGATAGGGTGGCTAGAAGCTAGGGGATGATAGTAGAAATTTAAAAAAAATACAAGTTGCTAAAAAAATCATATATTTAACATTTTTATTCAATTATTTCGGAGAATTATAAATTTCAATTAAGATTTTTTTTTAAATTCACCTGTTAGCAAATTTCAGAGAACGGTAAGAACTTTGAAAAAAATGTTTCAATAAAAGCTCTGTCCTCTACCTTCTAGTCACCCTATCTCGGTTAATTTTGATCTAAGTAAAAAAAGTATAGAGACCATTTTTATGTAAAATTGGTCGCTCTACAACTTTTATTTGAACTTTTTCTTTCTAGTCCTTACTGTTTCTACTACCAAAACCAAGAACAGTTAACCTAATAGGACTGCTCATTCAGCCAAAAGTGTCAGCCAGGTGCATGCGAAAACTGCTCGCTTTGTGACGTCATTGTAGTCCTTGTCATGGTTATTAGTCCTTATCCGACAACCAACAATACACACGCGTGCATTATTGGTTGCCGGATGCAAAACGTTCATTATTTAGTTTATTTATTTAAACACCTTATATGTATGCAGTATAGAAAATTGACTGTATAAATCGTATTAAATACTCGGATAATGCATTTTTAAGAACAGCAGCTCCCAGCATCACCTTTTTCAGGCATTCTTTTTAGAGTACTTCCATATTTTGCTTTAAAATAATTAATAAACAATATCGTAGGCACTTAGTAAGCACTTTGTCACAATCCGCAACACAAAATGAACGTATTTAAACACTCTATAGGTCTAAAAACTTTAGAAACATTTAAAATTGTCAAAATAATGAACTCAAAATTTCTCAGCTGTTATTTTTATAAGTTTACCATAGGCAACTAATAATACACACTATCATGACAAGGACTACAATGACGTCACAACTGTCAGCTGAAGCGCGGGAAGAGGCGAATGTACGTCTATGAGCAATCCTATTAGTTTATCGTTCTTGTACCAAAACTTCGTATTTGGAGGTCTATTTTCTTGGACTATCGACGGCTGCTGGTTATCAGGTTCTTTCCCTGTATGTATATTGTTACTATAGGCATACCTTATTGCCCCGCACAGTTTATATATTCTGTAAGGACCAATTAGATCTACTATAATATTATAAAACATATCGTATATCACGTTTTCCCCTGGACCCTTCAATTGATAATGATCTTCATTTCATAGCCATCGTTGACGCCGTTTTTTTTTTCTCGACCGTATAGTATTTTGTTTATTGCAATGTCATTATTTTACCTCGGATTAGAACTTCTACCGACCTATTACGCCAGTTTATGGTATTTTTTTGTTATTCGAACAAATTATAGTCCAATTAATCGCATTTTGATGTTTGACAAGGTACTTTGCGTCGACATTGGCGTGTATATCGTGTGTGTAAGGTAGTACTGGTACTCGTTTTTTTCCCTGACGACGACAACGATCAAAATACGACGTTTCTGTACTCGCTGCCGATGCGATAAACCGTTTTATTGAACAATATTAACCTTCGTTCGACCGATAGCGTCGTTAGAACATGGTAATTCACTTTGAGAGTTACGTACTAGAACCACCACAGAGTACTACTCGGACATGTGTTAGCGTGTTCCTAGTAGGCTAAGGCCACCCGGCGATGAACTCTTTTTTTCCTATACGTATTTGTTAAAAAAAAACTTTGTTTAAAAAAATAGTACCGGTGACGACCAGTGGTACTATTTTAAAAAATATTCATTCGTAATGGTGATGATAAAGCAAAGCAAGAATTTCCATTAACATACAAACTGGATAAATTTTTCTCACATTTATGTCAGCATGAGAAAAAACAATATGGCGATATTATTATATAACTTGGTAATATTTGAGGGGTAGTTTCATCTCGTTGGAATTTGACTTTCGAAAAATCCGTTTGCCAAAAATAAGCTTTTTACGTCAAGCAGTTTAAGCAGAATCGTGATTAAGAAATTACCCAACTTTTTGGAACACCCTGTATGATTTTTTAAAAATTTCAAAATATGTAAAAAAACCAAATAAATTATGCTTGTCCAAGCGTTTTCCCGAAAGACAAACCGTTTTTTAAATAACAAATATTGTAATATTTGAGGGGCGTTTTCACCCTCTTGGAATTTGAGATTCGAGAAACCCCTCCTTATCGAACCACACAGTCAATCCGTTTGCCAAAAATCAGCTTTAAACGTCAAGCAGTTTAAGCAGAATCGTGATTACTCAATGGTCATATTGTATAAAACACCCTGTATAAATTTATAAAAAATCTTAAAATATGTAAAACAACAAAATAAAATATACGTGTTTAAGAGTTTTTCCGAAAAACTCACCGGTTTTTAAATAAAAAATATTCTAATATTTGAGGGATAGTTTCACCCCCTTAGAATTCGAGTTTCGAAAAATCCCTTCTTATCGAACCTCTACACCCTAAAGTCAATCGGTTTTCCAAAAACCAGCTTTTTACGTCAAGCGCTTTAAGCAGGATCGTGATTAATCAATGACCAGATTTTTAGAAACACCCTGTATACATTTTTAAAAAATCGTAAAATATGTAAAAAACAAAATAAAATACACGTGTTTAAGCGTTTTTTCGGAAACTTGACCGTTTTTTAACTAAAAAATATTGTAATATTTGAGGGGTGGTTTCACCCTCTTGGAACTGGAATTTCGAAAAATCCCCTCTTATCGAACCTCTACACCCTAGAATGAACCTGTATGCCAAAATTGAGCTTCTTACGTTGAGTGGTTTGAGCAGGATCAGTGAGTTAGTTACTTAAGGATTTTATATATTAGTATAATTTTTTCAGTGCATTTTTGATGCCGTATTTTTCGATCGTATGGTACGATTTCTTTCACTTCGTTCTGATTAATACAAATACCTACTGGCACACAAGCGTATTGATTATCAGTAAATAAGACAAAATAGAAGAAAACCAAACTAACTTAAGTAAAAAAAAATGGTGAAAAATAATATTCGCATAAATTCATATAGCTATACATGTTGGATAGCCAGAGTTTCGTCAGACGTATGTAATTTTCGTTTCGCAAAAGATCAAAGGCGCCGACTACAGAGAATGTAGCCAGCGTTCATTACATATGTACGTACAAATAGAATACGTACTGCCGAGTACTGCGTTTGAGCTGTCTAGTTTTCCGCTTTTTCTGCATCGTTTGTCTCATTCTTTATTATCTTATTAAGTTTGTATAAATTTAATGATTTATTGCTCTTAGAAAAATGCCAATATTTTATATAATTATTAGTGGAACTATAAAATATATTTCTACAAAGTTTATTTCATTAATTTACCAAACAAATCCTTCATTAGAAATTAGTTGTTTTTTTCTAGATGATATAATAGTTATTTTTTATACAAGACGATAAAAATTTGTTTTTTTTTTCTGCTTTCTTTGGTTTTATGTATATTTTGACTTTTTTTATATTATAATATAAAAAAATTATGTTCAAGCAACAACACACTCTCAAATAGCCTAGAAGAGTTATATAGATTATAATTAATTTATATCCATTATTTTTAACTTGTCTTTTTTTCTAAATGTTCTAGAAAAATGTCTGTCTTTGGAGAGGCCTACGGGGGGCAAAGGCAAGAAAATGCGCAAACCTCGTACCATTTACTCCAGTCTTCAATTGCAACAATTGAACAGGAGGTTCCAAAGAACGCAGTACCTAGCATTACCGGAACGGGCCGAGTTGGCGGCCAGCTTAGGGCTCACTCAGACACAGGTGAGTCAAACCATATTTAATATCTTAGATCTTATAGTAATAATTGTATCAGGGATAACTTCCATTTTTCCTTGATCTTGAACCTTTGAACCAAACATCTTGAGAACGGTTGCTCTTACCAAAAGACATTTTTATGTAAAAAACTGCGAAATTGTATATTTTCTCACTCAGTAGTTTTAAACAGACTCGTCCAATGCTCGTCAGACGCGCTAAATTCGACATGTTTCGAAATAAATAATAATAATAATAAATAACGCTTTATTGTACAAAAAGCCAAAATAGCTTCATCGACAAAGCATTTACAAAACAAACAAAAGCACAAAAAATATACAAATAATAAAAAATATCATACAATACAAATCAATTCAAAAAAATTTACGTCATTAAAATTACAAATAAAACATGCATGAACATTGCAGAACAAAAAAAGGCGTATCGATAAAATTTTACAATAGGAAAATTGTAAATGAATATAATCATGTAAGAGTTATAAAATATTAAATATTAAATGGGGCTAGACTTTTAACCAGTGTGTGAGATGATCAAAATTCAACATCAACAAAAAGTGTGAGATGACCTTTTGTAAATATCAGATATGTGCTTGCGGATTAAGCAAAGGGATTCAAAAATGAATAAAGAAGGAAGAGTTAGTATTTTGAAAATTTTAAAGAAATTCTGGTAGTGAGTTCTACTGTTCAGTCCCCATAAATATTGAACTGCTCTCTTTTGAAGTCTGAAAATACTATCAGACTTTGTTGCGCAGCAAGTATCCCAGACTGGAACTCAAAAAGGGCTTAATAGGCTTTTCTAGACGTTAAAAAGTTAAGTTCCTTAGAAACTGAGAAAATAAGTGCACTCTTTTATTTTTATCTACTGAACCCATCCAGTATAGAGACTTTATAATATAAAGTACCTATACAAACAGAGAAGATATACTATATCTACTTCGTTATATAAAATCCACACAAACCAAAACAAGAATTGACAAAACCAAATCGTTTTTCGTTATTGTCGTTACGGCTTTAAACGTTAATCAATAGAAAATCAATTCGTGCTGCCTCATTGCCCACCTCAATCATTTATTACAAATAGATCGTCATTAATCTCCATTTTAGATTGTAATTGTTTCCTTTCCTCTCACTCCTCTACCTCTTTCGTTTTTTTTCTTTCTCTAAGCTTACGAAACTTCCCCATGCAACAAATTAAAACGATATTACTACCAAAAAGAAGCTTTGAAGAAAGTATCAGTTTAATGCGATTGTTCGCTTTAATATTCCGTGAATTTGGTGAATTTTTAATCACGTCGGCAACATCGGAAGGGAATCTTTGTTAAAAAATTGATTGATCGAATTTTAATTTAATAGAAAATAGTTTTTAAATTATTAGTTTTAAGTTTGGAAAAAATGTACTTGATTCTTTTGAAAGTTTTTTATAAAATAAAAGTAATAAATATAGTCTAAATATACAGAGTGTGATAATCATCCACAGACTCAAATTGCTTTAAAAGACATTTACACGTTAGGTACACTATTTTTTGACACCTTGTATACCCAAAAAGAGAAATAAGAAATCTGAAAAAACTTATGTCTATTTTATTGCACGTTTTTTTATTCTAGTCCCTCAGCTTCCTAAACTCGAAAAAATATCAAATTTCATCAAATTCTTTTTTTTTCTTCTTCGTTTGGTTGAATGGGCAAAATGATCCTTAATTCGATATAAGTGTAAACAAATCCTGTATCACTGTGTCTCCTTTACACTAATCTAATTAAAAAAGGATAGTGTTCGTATCCAGTTACGTCCTTTTTACCTCCGTTAGGGTACGGAAGCAGATTGTTTTGATGTGTGTATGAATTTGTGAAGGTTATGTCTACACTACGATGGCTAATAAGGCTCGATATAATTAAAAAAACGAAGAAGTAGTTCTTTATTTTATTTTAGGATAACTTGTAGATATATGAATTTGGTTTGCTGAATAGAAATGGCGACAAATGCGACTGCGGTGCCTTTCAGGACATGGAACATCTTCTTCAATGTCCTGCGTGTCCCCACAGATGTACCCTCGATGACCTATGGCTGGCTAAACGGGAAGCATTGGACGTAGCCCATTACTGGGTTAAAAAACTAATATTAATCCGGACACGAAAAAGTAAAGTAGTTTATCATTGCCAAAAATAAGAGGTCCCAGACCGTCTAAAAGACGCATTTTAGCAAGCGTCTTACGCTCACAAATATTGTATCCAGCGCCGGCATGGTATACAGCTACTAGATATCAGAGTAGACTGGTGAAACTAAGGAGATTACAGAGGTATTCCTCCGATTGATCTCCTGATACAAGAGAGATATGAAGTCTACAATGATTCGACAAAAAGCGAAGCCAGAGCGCAACTCATGGAAAAATGGCAGGAAGGATGGATGGGAGGAAGTCAAAATATCGAAATCCAGCTGTAACCAAGATGCTTTTGTTATATAATAAGTGGAACACTGGAACAGTTTGAACTGGATGACCAATTCTACAAGTCTTATTTAATCTAGGGCTAAGTTCGACTTTCTTTTCTCATATATTTCCTCCTTGGCGACAGAAAGCGGCCGCGAAACCGTCGAAAACGCGGCATTTCGACGGCGATTTTTTCCGCCTTCCTCGGGAATGTCGGCGTCCATCTGCTGGCGGACGCGCGGAATGCGCGGGCGCATTTTTCGGGCTCGAAACGTCCGGGCAAAAAGCGGCGCGCGGCATCGCATCAAAGCGGGACGATCTCGCGGGCATTTTTACGGCGAAGAATGGGGACCGATGGCCTTAATACCTTCTCCTTACCCCGTCCCTGGTGCCTCTTTATGATCGCCACATTGATCTAGCAGCAGTTCATCTCTTCTCGTTAAACTGGGTAATGTTCAAAAAATAATAGAGCCATTGCCGCTCCAAAAAAGGACAAGTTCAGCCACAAAAAACATACGAAATCATTCCAATTCAGCTTTATTATTTAATTTAATAGACAATTCAATTAAGTCAGTTCTTTCGTTAAATTAACAAAACCCTGAATTCAATTATACTTAGGTATTACTCAGTTATATTCTAAAGCTTCATTCGGTAGAATAAATTAGTGGTTTTATTATACTTTATACTACTTAAGAACTTACAATCATTGACAATGTCTAAAACACAAAACATCCCCCTTTAGAACTTTTTCTTTAATGGCTATAAAGAGAGTTAAAGACTAACCGTGCGAACAAATACTAGAGGCGCCATCGGTCATCAAATGGTGTAAAAATTAACCATCTAATTTTGACACAAGGAATCGTGCTTATTTTTTTTTTAATTTTAATTCAATTTTCATTGTTTTCAATATATTATTAGATTTTGTTGTATTTTGCGAATGTATAAATGTTTCTTTAATATAAAGTTGCATTATATTAATTTAAATTATATGTGTTACATACATATTTATAGTTATTTTTTTATACAAAACGATAAAATTCAATTTTATCGTCCATATCCGGCGCGTTTGGATATGGCGCATAATTTACGCCATATCCAAACTACTTCCATTTAAATCCCGAATAAATTATGAAAAGGAATATAAACATTTTCAAAAATGGAAGCAATTGAAAAACGTGCGGGAAGAAATAAAGTTTTTAACCTATCCTCGCTGTTAAAGTGTCATTATCTAGTACTATTTTATCTACTATTTTGGATAGATATAAGGCAATTTCAATAGTTGCTATAGAAAAAAAATTAAAATATTATGACATACAGTGTGACCCACTCAAGACCGGGCACCCTCCATAAAATCTGTGTTTATAGTCCGATTTTGATGATTTTTTTTCAAATATAAAGTTTCAAAAAATGTACTTTAGGGCTCAATGTCATGTTATTTCACAAAAAACAAGGCCTACTTAATAAAGTTTTTGTGGTGAAAAATTTGAAAAATCATATTAACGATTTTTTTTCAAAAAATTTGAGTACACCCCTACATTCGGCATCCCCCAAAACAGTTCTGTACCAAATTTCGTTTAAAAATATTAATTATTAATAATTCTGCAGTTAAATTAAATAATTCCCTATTTTTGCCAATTTAACGATGAGTTATCACGTAACCCTTGAAAAAAACAATCCACAACAATGGGTTTTATCAGCTGTCTTGCAGCGTAGAATTGAATATTAATTTAATAGCACGCAGAAAAGTGTTGTATCAAGAAATATTATTTGCATTATGGAACAATTAAATATTAGGGATAAAATTGAAATTATTCGTTTAGTGGGTGATAACTATCTTCAAGCAGGAGAAGCTGCCAGAGAATTTAACAACAGACATCCCGACAGACCTGCAGTAAGTAGAAGCACGGTTCAACGAATAAATAGAGTTTTTAATGAAACTGGTTGTGTGTCAAAATACTTACTAAAAAACAGAAGGCCGGAACATTGAATAAATAGGCGGAATGAGGAAATATTAGAATATTTTCGTAACAATCCTCGTGCAAGCATTAGAGGCGCCAGTGTTGATTTGGATATACCAAGGGAAAATATTAGGAGATGTTTGCGAACTAATAAAGTTAAACCCTTTAAACCAAAGATTTTACACACTTTGGAAAACGGAGATGATGTTAGACGATTAGAATTCTGCTTATGGGCTCAAGCAGAGTATTTAAATAATAGAAATTTCTTAAAAGAAATTTTATTTAGTGATGAGGCAACATTTAGTACAAACGGAGTAGTATCCTCTCAAAATTCGCGATTCTGGGCAGTCGAAAACCCTGAATGGGTGATCAATACAAGAAGACAGTATTCTCAGAAATTAAATGTGTGGTGTGGCATACTTGATGATAGAATCATTGGTCCATATTTTTTGAGAGAAATTTGAATAGTCCAACGTTTTTGAATTTTCTGATTAATGACTTTTGGGATGCAATACATATTTACTACATTCAACTCAACAACCAGTCCAAATCTCACGCTATCCTTCCTTTTCGTACCCCTCAAATCTAATTTAACTTCTCGCCGGTAT